CTGCATTTCAATCATTAAAGGCTCTTTGAAAATATACGATACTTACATGCGTGGAACGTATGAACTCATACGTAGAAAAGAAATAAACCAGTGATATTGTAAATTTATTGCCATAAAGGAATACTTTTTTCACCGTTTACTCTACTACCATTTGGCGTAATACACACATGCCTTACACATTGTGACACCCATATACATACATATACTCATTGACCCGATAATACTGTTATTAACCTCCTAAAATGCCTGGTAACTTTGTTTATTCTATATATTGTAATTGTTCCATAGTACATACACGCATAGAGCATATTACCGTTATAAAACTTTCCCGATGTTAAATACTATTGCTACATTAAACTGTCGATGCTACCCCATGATTCATACATGTAAGCAACATTCACATGCTCAAAATTCATAGAGACTTATATTACATTTGATGATTCTATAAACATAAGTTATTAAAAATCATACATTTGTACCAGTCACGAATGTCTCACATCAACATTTGGCATAAACAATCAGTCACATCTACACGTATTTGTAAAAACACATCTAACTGATAGTGCTGCAGATAAAGTACACATTATTAAGTTCAACACAGGCTGCTGGGATAATTTTTCTACACTTGTGTCTATTATTTATACTAGCTTATTTGACTAATTTACATTCATACATTTATTTATCTGTACGAAGGTTACATATGTAATTTAGGAATCAATTTCGTACTTATTTTTCTATTGATTTTGGGTATTATTGTATTTTTTTGTGTGTACTCAACTTGAATGTTGTAAAAATATTCAAAAATAAATATGTTAAGTTAGGGATCGTGCACGAACATGACACAACGGAGTACCAAATGGCGTGGATGGCTTGACCGGAAGCCTTCAGCTAAACAAGTTGACTTAAACAGTGACTGTAAGCCTCCAATGTTCAATGATAAATGCTGTGGACAATAATTTTGGGGAATTAATTACCGCTACATGCCTTTACGATACCGGAGAAGTCCTCCATTGACAGTTGTGGAATTACTCGCATGGAGAACTAGCGTACCAGGCTTCGAAAGCCCACAGCTCAAGTCGCCTACGGACTTGTAGATCATGCCTCGTGCACACTAGCAGGCAGATAAAACCGACTACGATTATCGAGGGGGACGCCAATGAATGTCATAATGTAGTCTCTCGCATAAAGCGAGATAAGGACAGCATATTGGCCACACTGTCCACGAAAGAAGGAAAGATATTCAAGCCGCAGAGCCAACCAGATCTCTCTGACAGGTCGCCCATTCTCCACAAAGTGGAAGAATAAGCGGCCTCCGATCGCAAGGCCAGGTTTGAGCATGACCCTAATTTGGTTAAGTTTCTCTTAGAATAGCTACTACCAATAACGGCATCGGATATAACTACACTCAGCTTGAAAAGAATCGGCCCAAAGCATGACCCAACATTAAATCGGCCTGCTCAAAGTCGTTCTAAACTCCAAAGAAGAGAGGGATGCCATTCAAATCAACCCTCAAATTCTTAGAGGATCAGGCATGTAAGTCTGTGCTGACTTAGGCCTAGCAGACCATGTGAAAAGACAGTCTGTGACCCTAGAATTAAGCGAACGACGCCAAATAGGCGAAAAACTTTAGGATTAAGTGTTTTCGCATTGACAAAGTTCGAAGTTTGATGATTCCGAAACATCTGAGGGTAGGCCGCGGAAGCATTAAACTGAACTGACAGTTTGCTGCACAAACGCTCACAGCCTGTTGAACAGACGGTCTGAGCTGGGTAATATGATAGTCTCCGGAAATCAGGATGCAATTATCATCTCAGAGATATGGCTCACGCCCGACTCAGTGATGATGAAGTTAACTTGACGAACTCCAAAGTGCATAAGGTGAACCGACTAAGCCGCAAACGGGCTGGCATAGTCACCTACCTCAAGAAATGCTTGACTGTGCGTAGCATCGAAACACTTGCTCACGAAAATGAATCGTGTGAACTCCTATGCTGCAGACTTAAATGCATAAGCCAAGATATTGACCTCAACGCTGTATACCGCAGTCCTGACTGTAGTGCAGATGACTTCCTAATAGAGCAGCTAAGATTCTGGACATCAAAATGTCCGAAGAATCGCTTATGCAGATCACTGAGGAAAGCCTTCTTTACGGCTGAGCTACAGATAAATTTCTACAGCTGACAAATGATCAATGGATGTGTGAAGGGTAAACTGCTGCTTTGAGCCACTTCAATGTATCTTTATAAATTCACCTGCTCGTGTGGCGCCAGTTATATTGTCCGCACAAAGCGCACGCTTTCCGAACGCATCTCTGCACATTACTTGGCATGGTTAGCAAAAGGACAACCACTAGCTGAATTCTCGAGCACTTAGTGACCTCAAGCCACGTAGCTCCACCAGGGTCGTCCTTCAAGATCATCTACAAAGTGCGGCAAAATGGTACAGAGGCGTCAGATTTCGGCTTTTGTGTATGGCGAAGGCGATGGCATTCCGTCAGTACAACCCAGAACTCTGCATAGAGAAAACGTTTGTCCAGTATCTTATTCTACCTTGGTCTTAACCTCCTCACTAGTCGTTCCCTGTAAAAAAAATTCTAATTTGTTTTCAAATTTTACTTTTATAATTAGTTCACTATTATCACTGTCATATGTTCCATTTGTACATTTCACACCCTCTTCAGACTTTTCAAATTGACACTCAATAGCAATTTTGACCTTATCAAATTTCTACCATTGTGCCGTTGAGTACCAGGTAATTTACAACTTTTATTGTTTGCTTCTGAAGCCAATTCTGCAACACAATGCTGTCTGGCCTGAAGAGAGAACCAGCCGATCAAGATATTTCTTCTTTGAATCCTACGACAATTGACTGAATGTCAATTATAAAAACTTCAAGAATACATTTCGAGAACCCATGACACAACTCACCAATAGTTTCTTCATGTACTGGAATGCATCTCCGCCCAGGATCATGCTTCTTCGCAAGTTCAGTAGAAGCTTGCCGACCGGAACGTCGTAAATATCTTAAATACTCATCAGAGTAAATAATTCAATAAGAGGTCATGTCTTACTAAATTTAAGTGAAGTGAACAAGAGAAATTATATGCAGTATATTGATGTGGGTACTAGGTAGCCCAAGTTTTCAGCAGGGCGACATATACATATATGACAGTTGTTTTTGTATTGCCACCCTAACTTAACCGTATACGGGTAGCAAACACTGAGTGTGTGGAATCTGGAATATCATAATTGAGAAACAGGCAAATTCTATGTCAAAACCTAGACTCTGTGCTGCCAGTATTGACAGTGGGAGCTAAGATCTGTAGGAAAACTTAATCCCACACCTTTTCATTATTATTATTAACAGCGCCTTTATTACGAACGACGAACACAGAAATTTCATTTTGTTTTACAAACACGTCTCATGGAGTCTGAAAGCGCAGTAATAATCTACAATATTATCTATTCATTTCAATCTATTTAGTCTCTTCGGTCTTCTAAGAGAGGTGACAATTTTTTGAATGGAAAATGACACAATTTGCACATCTTTTGTTTCGGTTGATGTCTTGTTTCAAATTGACTTTCGGCCAGGTTGAAACACGCACACTTGTCTTTGCTTCGTCTTCTTAGTCCCCACAACTGCTCGTTGTTCAACACTAATTCTTGGGTGCTTACGTTGGAATTTACAGGAGTATTTACAAGAGTATTCAGCAACCCCTTGGCAACATCCGTAGTGGACAAAAAATAACATCGAAGCAGCACACTAAACCTTGCCTCTGGATTATATTATTTAAAGTGTGGAAGTTGAACGTAGACTCAATTGCGAGTAACTGCACCTTTATGTAACACATGTAGCTGTAGGTAATTCCCCAGAATTATTGGCCACAGCATTTATCATTGAAGGCTTACAGTCACTGTTTAAGTCAACTTGTTTAGCTGAAGGCTTCCGATCAAACCATCCACGCCATTTGGTACTCCGTTGTGTCACGATCCCTAGCTAGCTAAGCAACCATCCTGCACTCCGATTTTGGTCCCGAAATATATCTCGTAATTTGGACGACCAATCATCAATGTGTTTTGCTTTACCTTTGGGTCTGCGCAGAACGAATACTATAGAGGTTGTGGGTTTCAGATCTTGCGTTAGTATACATCGTACTATCCGTGAACGTCAACACCCACAGCCTCTAAAGGTTTCTTTGGATAGAGCATTAAAGTTGCGCTAAATGGAAAATTGGCCCCCCAGTTAGCTGGTACATTCAACCTAATATTTGAATTAATCTTGGGTTAAGGGATTGTTTTTCGCAACATTAAATGAACATAAAGGTAAATGGTATAAGAATCCCACGTTTCAGAATAAATAACTTATGACTCTGAATGAAAATCTATCTGTACGGGGAAACATTGCCATCCCGTGTTCTGTTTTATGACACTACTGAAGACTGTTAATTTAACACGATGAATACAAAAAATAAAAAGTAGCCTAGTTAAAGATTTGAAGTGACTGTGAAATCTGTGGAGAGTTCTCAGTGCACATGCCCCAATTACACAGTAACCTTTAGATAAACCAACTATTGTCACTGGGTGGGTATTTGACTTCACACATCAATCTTGTGGTCTCCTGTAGTCATAACGTCTCAATCATTTCTTCACATAACACTAAAACAAAAATATTAATCTACTGCTCATTACACTAGTTACAAAACAGATTTCTCAAACATTTGATGAAAAGTCATGACAAGTGGAGTCCAAGAAGTCGGATGAGATGTCACTTATTAATATCATTGAATAGCGATGACGGTATCTTGCAAGTCGACAAAATTTGGAAATCATAGATTGTTGGATTCAGACTCATTAACTGACATTACGTGACTTATGTCAGGCGTTAAGCACTACGCAGCATGATACCCTTGACTGCAGTTTCATCATTCTCACTGACACTTAGGAAATCTAAGCAACATTCTTTATATGAAATAACTCTAACTAGAAAGTACACACAATTATTTAAGAAGAACGCTGAAAGAGTAAGTCTACAATAAAAGTAAACAGTTCACGAGGATCATAAGAAGAGTTATTTTTATATACAAATTTTTGAATATTTGTCATGATTTCCGCTCTGACTTCTTCTTCGTATAGACGGAACTTTTCTGGCAATTTGACTGCATTGTACAAATTCCGAACTACTTCTTGTGATTTAGCATCAGACTTGCCATAATTCGCCTACAGTTAAAAATAAGTAGATGTACAGTAAGTAGTCAATTCATATAAATAATAATTAGACAATTACGTTAAAGTAAAAAAATCTTTCGATATACATACGAATACAGATCAAAACGTGATACTAGGAGCTAACGCGAATTTACCAGGATTAAAATTCTTTCCACAAAAAGTATAATGATTGAATGCATTGTTAATGTTATTTCACAGAAATCATAATATGAAATTGATCAAAATCTCTTCTCACACCTGAAGTATTTTAAGCTGATCAGTTGAAAGATGTTTCAAAGCCTCCACAATCAGCCAAGAACATTTGCCTTCTGCTATATCAGTGCCTACTTTTCCTGTAATTTCACTGTCACCGAAGCAATCTAAATAATCATCCTATAGGAGAAAGTTTGCATTAGAAATTAAAAGGATAATACCTGTGCTTGAAAGTATTTACCCATTTGCAGAAGGATATGCTGAACTTCGCTGAAAACATCCTGTGATTCAACTTCTGCCTGTTGAAAAAAAAGGATTCAAGAAACAATAAGACAGTTGAAAACTCCTTTTATAATGGAAGTGCTGTAAGTTTATAATTTCAGACAATTCAGTACGAAACAGAAGTCTATTTTTTCATGTTATTACCTTTATTCAACTGAGATGGATTCCTATTCTTCTGTACATATTTTTATGTGAAAGAAACGATAAAGGTTATAGGTAAGGTTTGATATATCACAAGAATGGCTGCAGTCACACGTAACCGTGAGCTTTATCCATACCGAGTGGTACAGACTTACTTATAACACAATGGTTCACCAGAAGAGATATTCACCGTATTTATAAGAAAAAGTTTAGGCAAATAGGCAAATATCCACTGTTATAACAACATCATTTGCAACTAACGTTTTTACTTCCAGTAGATCTTCATCAAAATTAATCTCAACCGTTTCGTCTTGCGTTTATGATTACACAACTCAAATTAAATAAGAGTCCAGACATAGTGAAAGGTCCTTGAAGGTAACTGAGATTAAACAGAATCCGTTTGAATTATAGGTTTCCAGGCCGTAGGTGTTACGAACTTCCTGAAATAATTTGAGCGCCGAGTCAGATTGATTCATTATAAATTATTTAAATTAATCCCAGCGTGTTAAGAAAATCAAAACAAGATTTTTCTGAACGTTTCGCTGTGTAAGCCACAGCTTCTTCAGCAGATTTATTCGGAAAAAATCCGAATAAATCTGCTGTGGCTTACACAGCGAAACGTTCAGAAAAATCTTGTTTTGATTTTCTTAACACGCTGGGATTAATTTAAATAATTTATAAAGAATCCGTTTGAAGTTGAGTGCACCCCTATTCTGTGCCTCATAGGGAAAGACAGGTCAATAAAATTTTTACATGAAATTTAATAAGTGATTAGACAAAATTCAGTTTAATACCAAAGTCATCTGTGTCTCGTTTGCCTGTCTTATTCCTTATAAATTGTTGTCATATATCTCAAAATGACTTATATTGAATCTTAAGTCCCATTACAAACCGTTAATTAATTATTCACTACAAAGGATGAATACAAGAAAGAATTGTAGAACAGCTCATCGAATAACGAATGAATTGCGTAGTGTAGTTTGATGTTAGGAGGGTCAAAGGCAAACAGCAGGAAACCTAGGTACACGCGTTTTCTGCCGATTACCTTCAATCTCCTGATATCAAATCAAAGCACACTGGGGTGTTGAGTCACCTAGCTTAGTGACGACATTGCTAGCTTGACTAACAGAATCCGATTAGCACCAACACTACTAAGGACTAGATAAACGACATTGCTTGCTCACCAGTAACAAATGAATGTGCAGTTTAGTTACAATATAACGACGCGACATCAGGATCTGAGTCTCAATTCAAGTGGAGAAATAATTTACATAAAACCAAGAAGTATGCCAGTCTCAAATTTTGAAGAATTTCAGTTCAGTGTCTCGTGCTTCAGATGAAAAGAACGAATTCTCTACACAAGTAACTTCAGTTCAACTGTAAACAGATACTTCACCAAGTCATTTTGTTTCACGAATATAACCCGGGTAACGCGTGAAATAATAGTAATTTGTTTTATTCCAAAACAGCACTTATGATACACTGTGGAATTCTGAGCAGTTGGGACAATACTGCATCTAATTTACCCGACAACACCAAAAACAATATTATAGGGTAACTAGGATTGATAACAGCAGTTTTTCAGTAGTTACAGTGATAATAAAGTCAAAAATGTGCCAAAAGTGTAAAATAATGTTAATAGATAAAATTGTAAATTAATTGAAATTGTGACACCATAGATTACAAATAAAGAGGATAAAAGAGACAATTATTTTGCTAATAACATAGTAAGTCGAAGGTTTTATGCTTAACACAATCTCTATCACATAGAATGCGGGCCAAATAGGGTATCGTTGAGTTTTGCACTTAGTTGTGCGTACATATAATCTTTTATAACCACTTCTACTTACCTACCTGATGAGATGCAAGGGGAAAGTTGAGAATAGAGATATTGAGAGTCAGACGATATGGATTTCGACTATCTTCCACATGAGTTCAGGTGTCTGTCGACTGTAGTAGTAACAAGCTGACCAAGTGGCGCCCTACTATTCGCAATATGAAATGATCCTTTTTGAATAGCCCAGGAAAGACTAAGAGGGAGCAATACAATTACAATAGGTAAGACAAAAGAGTTAACAAATTGTAAAAACAAAGGTTGAGCAATTCCAGATTGTCTTAACTTATTGCAGACGGCTAGACAGAACATTTCTTTAGAAATCGAAAACATATGGGAGGGTCGATAAGGTCAGAGGACAGAACCAACCCAAGCTGTTTATTGATTGACTTAGTATCTATTTTATTGCCCTCTATGTTACACGCATCTTGTGAACGAAGAAGTTCGTGTAGATCACGTTTATGCCTGAAGGTGAAATCAACTGGCTGACATTGACAGTGACTCTGTCTGTCTGGATTCAACATAGAACTTGGCACCGAAGTGCAGCAGTTCGAGTTGCCACGTTCCAAATAGCACACAAAGGTAGACAGGAAAAGGAGAGAGGAGAATCAATAGAATTTAGATAAGTATAAGAGTGAAACAGAATGAGTAATGGTAGAAAGGAATATGAAAGATTACAGAGACTGATTACATCTGCGCCATTGACAACGATTTTGAGCCATGTCACCTATTGTCTCCAGCCATTGATTCTTAGAGTCCCGAGGGCCCCAACCCGGAAGTCTGCATCTCCCTACCTGACCCAGTTTAACTGTCAGGGATTTCATGGATTGATGCCATGTTTTTGTTTGGCCACCGCTTACTCTTTTCCAGCCTGCACCTATATCAGCTAGTAATGCCCATCGGGGGAGACGATGGTCAGGCATGCGCAGCACGTGGCCTAACCATCTCAATCTATGTAACTTCATAGCCTCTTCGAGTGATTTTCCCTCATTGCCCTATTGACAGTGATATAAGGTAAGACCATTTATTTCAGACTACTGGCTGGTATCCAACAAAAGGCTATTAAGTTTGGAACAGTCGGATTGGGACGCAACTGGGAGCGAGATAGTCAGATCATCAGCATATTTAACAACGTTGATTTCTTCCGAAGAAGAAAGAGAAAAGAAGAGAAGGGAGAACGCAACCTTACGAGATTCCGGCTTCAGTAAGCAAGACAAAGGAAGGTTTGCTTTTATAAACAGTATACGGCATTCTGTTCGAGAAATAAGAATGCAACCAGTTAATAGTCCAGGACTCGATTTGTGTCAGGTAAAGCTCGTTTAACAAAAGGCATCTGTGTGCAGAATCAAAAGCGGATGTGTAGTCAAGGAAGGTACATCGGACATATTTGGCTCGTTTATCTGAGGAAACAATATTATGATGTAGGACAGCAGCTGAATCTAAAGTACTTCTGCCCTGTTTATAAGCAAACTGTTTGAGGTCACTAAAATTTCACAAGGTTGAGTAAAAGTAATTTCCCCACCAATTTCAAAAAAGGAGAGGTAATTGCAATCTCTAAATTTAGCATTAATACCGGAACATGATTTGGGTACCGATCATTTTAATGTCTTTCTATGCTACGGATACAACATTACTGGAAAAGAAGCATTGAAAATATTTGTAAGGGGATAACATAAAATATCAGCACATCTTCTGAGGACAACAGCAGGTACGAAATCAGGAACCAGGTTTTGAGAAAGTTTTAGAGACTTGAGACATTTGTGAACATTAAGAGTGCTAAGACGATGAAAGGTGTGAACACATAAAATAATAGTATGACATGTAATTAGAATGTTTCTAACTATAATCATAGTTAAATATCGAGTGTCAAAACAAGTTATTTCATGTATAGAATAGTTCATAAGATGCACAGATATTGGAAGGCAGTGTATAGTTATAGGATTACTAGGCAAATATAAAACTTCACACGACGTAGTGTGAAATTTGACAAGATAGAATTCAAGAATGTGAAAAATATTTTGGATTTGGAATGACACATGGGACAAGTGAAACTGTAGAGCCCCTTTGTTAACTCTAACTGTACGCCTAAAAAGTGAAATCGTGTACCCATATTATACGTTCACAGAAACTAATTTTACGTGTGGTTGTCGAATACTTGCCACTGTAGGATTGAACATGGGTTTCTGTTTGTTATATATATATATATATATATATATATATATATATATATATATACATTCACCTTTTCAAGTTTTCACTTGTGCTTCTCAATACAACGTTGCTCGTATTTGGCCGTGTACAGTGTTGAACACATCGTAGAGAATGAAAACGTGGATATTTTTATTTCTTTGCGTTTCCAGTGGAACACATGGCTTCAAGCTAGATGCTTGAAGTTGTGGTAGCAGTGGTATTTATTTTTACGGTATGGGGTCACTAGCCTCATGCCCAACTTTCCCCCTTTACCAGTCTTAATACTGACTTAGCGAGGTAAATGATATGCTATGGTATTAAAGCAGGGATCATATTCAGTACCCCGTAGAATAATACCGGAAACAGTTCAAAGTGAGGATAGCAATAGTAACAATAGTAATCGTAGTAATGAGGGGAAGGTACATAGATTAACTAAATAAACAAAATACAAATAAATAAATGTTTATCCCTATACGGCCAAGGCAGAATTAGGGATTGAAAATACTTCTTTTGTATACAAAGGTCTGGCTTAAATTCATGAATGACCAAGGCATCCACTGTCTTTAGAAGCTTAGAACAAAGAAAACGCGGCAAGTCAGCATGAATTCCACAAATGACCTTAAAATCATGGTCAGGGTTGATAGAGTGATAGAAGTCAATCAAGTGTTCTACAATACAGCTTCGCATACTCTTCCTTTCTCCCTTTATAAAACCATGCTGGAGTACGTTCTCGTATCCGTGTAGAAAGTGTTCTCTGGCTGCGGCCGATGTACCTTGCTCCATAAGAGCAAGTGAACTGATAGACGCATATGGAAGCGGTCAGACGAGGGAGCTCACCTTTTACAGAGACGGCGAACAACTTACGACTAGTGAAGGTCATTTGTAGTTTTGCAGCAAAGAACGTCCTACTGAATAATTTAGAAAGATGATTTTTTGAGTATATCTGACGCCTTATCACCTTTGAATTCCAATTTCATGAAGATGAATTTTTTGGAGTTGAGTCAGTGACCATTTGGGACTGCTTATCTTTCGTGGTTTTGTCAATAAATCGGCTAGGGTAACCATTTCTGCGAGCGTTGCTTTTAAGAAGGAAAATTCTGAGTCAACGCAATCAGAACTACAAATGTTTCTTATCCTAAAGCAGAGCGGCTAAGTTAAGTTTGTTTGCCTGTAGATACGCAACCAACTATTAAAAATTAGTTAGTTGTCCATTACATGTACGTTTCCAGTGGATGGATCTTCTGAGAGATCTGCCATTACGTCTGCTGATGCACACATCAAGAAAAGGAATGTTTAGTTCAGATCCATTTTCTATAGTGAATCGCAAAGAAGGATGGCAGTTGTTAAGATATACATACCATTGTACATCTTAATAATAAATTCGTTGAAAAAAGTCTCTTCGCTTAAAATTATGTTCTGAATGTTACAGTGGGCATTATCAAATCACTGAAAACCACTAAAGTCACCAACTTTATTATTTGTAGCATTAGGAATGAAAACGTCAGTAGGAGAGAGTATGAAAGATTTGTTATGAGTATTTACACCAACAGAGGGAACAATAATACTTTGTTTGTTTAAAAAGTTTCCACATGTTTGAGGGGGGGGGTTTTATATGATAAAAGTCTTTCGTTATGAAGAGTATTCAAACTTTGGATTTCAAATTTGTTTAAGATGTCAATCCTTTTTAGACCAGACTTATCTTTATAATTATACAGCCTTTCTATTTCTCTACGTAACTTTTTAAGATGAGAAGAGAAACGGTCAAGTCTTTTGAATAGTACTTGTTTCAGGCAACAGATGTCGAGGCAGAATTTAAGATAATCCGTTATATTGATTGTGATTGTATCATCCAGTGTATGCATTGATTGAAAAATGGCTAATTTATCAGTCTGTCAGAGAAGGGCCACTTGGGCCGATACAAGTTCTGGCGTGGAATCATACTCCCAGCCCACTCGAAGTAAAATAATAGGCCTCACTATCCCGGAGAGATTAAAACGTGCTTTGTGTGGAATACTCGACCCTGAACAGGTTGTATTTGTAGGAAATCATCGCAGATGATTTATATCTAGCATCACACAAACTCGAAGACAAACGGGTCAAAACCAACAAGTTGTTATAAGAAACAGAGAAGATGGGATTTCAGGCAAATGTATGAAATACAGGTGATAAAAATATCTGACCAATAAAAACAACAAATACCAACCGCCACCAATGGAAGAAATCTGAAGGAAATTATCCCCTTCACAGATGGCTCAATAAATATGTCAAAATCAGCCAAGATCGGATCAGGAAAATGAGACAGACGACGACTACTCTGAAATCAATGTGAAGATCTACGGCACTCAGCATAAAGAACAAGATCCGTATCTTCGATACTAATGATAAGTCAATCAGTGCTTCTGTAAGGGACAGAGACTTGACGCGCACATAAGGGAAAGCATTTTTGACAGTCTGCTGCAGACTTTCATCAATATCTACCGTCACTCAGCACTTAAGAACAGATGACCAACCGGAAAGGATAAACAACACGGAACTCCGACGGGCAGAGAGTCAGTTGAGTAGCTACTGCTCAATAGATGTGCAGTAGGAAGTGGATATAGACAGGACATGACACTTCAAATACCGGTGAGTGACATCAAACGCCAGGCCCTCAAGTGGAACCTGAGAGAAAAGCGATGAGTCGGGCGTCTGAATGTGACATAGAGGAAGTAATATGAAGAGGAAATGAAAGCTTTTGGGAGATCGTGGAGACAGTTGAAAGTGATGGCAGAGTACGGTGCAAAGAGGGTTTACTGATGAAACCCTACGTTCCATTGTGAACGCCAGGAGTGGACAACAAAATAAATAAATAATAAATATTCTATCTAGGTGGTACTTTTACATGAATTACTAACTATCAAAAAGGATGTGTGACATACACTGATGAAAAGTTATTCTATATTCTGCCATCAGTACAGTGGGATTATGTTGAAATAATATTTTTCAGTGAGCAGTGGTCACTTAGCCACACTACCAATCAGACCAATTAGTATCAGTTCAGTTTTATCAATCACATAATTACTCATTATGCAATAAGTATTACAAACAGTTCTCTAGTAATCACAATAAATATAAGCAAAAAGTGGGTTCGACTGAAAAGGCTTTAGAGTCGTGTGTATCTGTATGATTTCGCATAAAATCAGATTGTGTAGCCTTGTTTCCCTATTCAATAGCAAGGAGAGTGAGGCGAACAGGTGGAAAACAAGCACATAAGAATAGCAAGTAAATAAGCAGAGTAATGCGATTTCAGAGAACAAAAATACGCGAATGCATATGAAAAGGAGTACGCTTACTGTTGCCTAATACTGTAGTTTCCCACATTCATGACATTATGAAGTTGATGCTATTTGTGTATGAATTCGACTAAGTTTAGATCAAAGAGTCTGATATCAGTTACAGAAAAAAATGCATACAGAGGTCAACTAGTTTTAAGTTAAGCAACACTCAAAACCTATCAACCAATGAAGTGCCTGAAATTAGTTCCCACACCCATAAAGTGATATATATATATATATATATATATAAGTTATGGAAAGACTTATTTTACTTAATCTTGAACCCTCTTTAAAGCCTTTTAATGACCCCAACCAGTTTGCCTATAAACATAGTAGGTGTACCTTAGATGCCGCTGTAGTTCTATATCATAATATAGTCTCTAGTTTAGATAGAGGAGCTAAATACGTTAGGTGTGCCTTCCTCGATTACACATCTGCATTTGACTCTGTACCTAGGTCTCTCTTGTTAAGTAAGCTTGCTGCAACACAGAGTGAGAGCTGTATAAATAAGTGGTTGTATTCCTACTTTTCTGATAGGAAGCAGTACACTGTCTACAATGGAAAGTCCTCCACTACCTCACTCACTTTAGCTGGTGTTCCTCAAGGTGCTGTTCTTTCTCCTTTTCTGTTTTCTTTTTTCTTACATGACTTGCCCCATTCTGATGTAGCAACTTTTGTCAAGTACGCTGCTGACCTCTCTGTCTCCATGCCTGTCAACTCTCAGTCAGACTGTTCCATACTAAATAACTTTCTCTCGGAAATTAGTCAATGGTCCTCTTCAAACGGTCTTAAGCTGAATCCGTCTTAATGTCAGGTAGTAAATTTCACTTTCAGACGGAAAAGTGACCTACAACAACTAGCTAGCTCACATGGTCCCAATATCATTGACGGCATGGAGGTTGAAACTACATTTAATGTCAAGTACCTTGGACTGAGTATTTCCTCCGATCTCTGCTGGTCCTCTCACATCTTGCTAGTGACTAGAAAGATGTTTCGCTTAACGTTCTACGTTAGGAAGTTTAGGCAGTCTGGTATAAAGCAGTCTTTGCTTTCTCAGTTTGTCAATTCCTGTATTCTACCCATCCCTCTTTACTGCTCCCCATTAATCTTTCCTGGACTACTTAAGAAAGACTTTGCTTCGCTGCGTAGGGCACTAAAAGCTGTTAGTAGGGCAAGCGGGATTTCGTCAAACCAACTGGTTAACACCGTTGTGGATAGACATATAATGTCATGTAAGAAACTAGCGAATTCTATATTGTCAGACCCCGAACACCCTCTCTATACGCAGCTCTCTCCTTGCATTTCATCTGGTAGAACTAGAAGCAACTATAGGAAGCTATATGCCAGGACTACCAAGTATAAAAACTCCACAATACCTTATCTGGCACAGCTGTTATGTGATGGGAAAAGTGTTAGGTATGACACAATCAACTTACTGCGGCACTCTAACAAATAGTTCCCATTAGCTTTTGTTCTCCTTTTTTTTGTTACTATTATATTGTTGCTCATATATTCTATTGCAGACTAATTTTATATTTCATATCTTGTGGTGCACTGTTTAAATATGTGAATGCAATGCTGTTCTTTTTTATTTCTTTTATTTCTCTTTTTCTTTTGATGTTGCTGCTTTTTATTTTTAAATTCTTATAAAATTTATCAGGTAATTAGATGCAATATTGTAATGCACGCTGAAAATTCCATACCTGTGCCACAAATACTGTTTGGAATAAAGCCATTATTATATATATATATATATATATATATATATATATAAACCATGAGTTAAGGAGGCATGTAAAATTAGAAAAAATACAAATCTATTAACTCACCAAAATCATTCCACAGGCAACAGGTAGGTAAAAAGTGTAAAACCCAGTCTTCCAATATGTTATTGCTTCAAAATTAGGCGTTGAATAATTCTGCAAAAATTGATCTAATTCTTCACTGTCATGCGTACACAAATTTTTTGGATTGGATGATAATATATCCAGACACTGACCACAACAGGTATTGTAACTAATTTCATCAAATTGTTTGCATAAATTAAGATATACATCACTTTTACTCTTCCATACAGGTAGACTATTACCATTCTGATTTTGTGCAAATATAGAATGGATCAAATACTTAGATGATAAAATTAAATGTAAGCCATCGTTGACACCAATTAGTCCACGACCCGAATTTAACTGTGTCAGATACCAACAGGGTTGACCACGTCTTAGTGTAGAATTATCGATTATATCATCCAAAATAAGAAATCCTGCATGCAGCTAGTAAATAACAGAAGGAGCATGATTTAAAAAAAGTTTAGTCTAAAGCCTGAGTATTTATTAACTAATGAGGGGTGTTTTTATCAAAGGCTACATATGTATCAGTGCTGAAAAACCCATAATAATACATCAGTTCACGTTGCCATATTGTATAGTACACAAAATGATATTCAGAACGAATCCTGAAGAATTTGAAACATTGCTAAGACATTCACAATTCTCATTCTCCACTCATAACTTCTTACCATCAGTTTATTGCAACCTTTAGACTACAATTCCACACAAGCTTCAAGAAAACTGTCAGAAATATATGGTTTCAAAATATGTAAGGACCTAACAAAATTAACCATAGTGCAAGTAACGTTCAAGAGAATAGTGGATTTGAATGTTTGGCATATACCCCGAGTCACTTCTGTTAGTGTATCGGCTATAACCCCATCAGCTAAATGAAATGAAATAAGACTGTTTTGTGCATACCTTAAATGTGAAAGACACTAAGTTTAATACGGCTTATAGAGCATATTTCAGTCCAATACACTGGCTGTGACGCAAATGTTTCTGAATGTAAAGAAATTTTAAGAATCTCCAATAAACTCGGCTTATGGCGAGTTGTCATCTGAAGTGGTGATGTGGTGAGAGATGGTCGCTAGCCAAATTGGTTGACAGTAATTGAGGTCAATGTTAGTCATTTGAAAACAAGGTCAAGATGGACAGGTGGATACAGTTAACATATAGATGAACTGACACAGCCACAAGAGATGCAAGGTTAACTTTGTGTGAGAAACAACCATTCAACAGACTGCATTTTCTACTAACATTAACCTACAATAATGTACATCAAAATCTATAAATATGTGTTGATTTTCCGTAATAAACGTTCTGTTGCCTGGCCCTTGTCTTCTGTTGTTACACTTCTAGGCGAGGACGCTGACAAAATGCAGAGTCTACTGAACACCTTGAGCAACAATATTCGTATGTTTGGCATGCGATTCGCCCCTGTAAAGTGTAAGATGATGCTGCAGGATTGGACTTCACCGACCCCTAGATTAGAAATAGGAAGTGAAGTGGTAGAGCACGTTGGCCGCTTCACTTATTTGGGAAGTACCATCAGCCAACGCCAACGAGTTGATCTCTGACGAAATCTCAGCACGTATACAGAGGGCTAGGTTCGCATATGCCAGTTTACGCCGTCTCTGGCGTAGACGGGATATCCGACTATCGACCAAAGGGCGTGTGTACTGCTCAACAGTCCGCTCCATCCTCCTTTATGGCTGCGAGACCTGGCCATTGAGAGCAGAAGACATGAAAAGATTAGCTGTGTTCGAACATAGGTGTCTGCGTTCTATCTCCCGTGTCAAGTGGTATAATAAGGTGAGCAATATTCAGGTTAGGCGTCGAGTGCTAGGTAAGGCGGGGAAATCAATCGACGAAACGGTGAAATTACTTCTACTGAGATGGTTAGGACATGTGTTACGTATGCCTAATCATCGCCTTCCTCGACAATGGGCAATGTTAGCTGATATAGGGTCAGGCTGGAAAAGAGCTAGCGGCGGTCAAACGAAAACATGGCACCAGTCAATGAAATTTACAACAGTTAGTCTAAGCCACGTAGGAAGATGTAGACTTCCTGGTTGGGGTCCTCGGGACGGTAAAAACCAATGGTTGGAAACAATTGGTGACATGGCTCAAAATCGTTCTCAGTGGCGCAGATGCATCCACTCCTTGTGACTTATGATTTCCAATTAAACTGTTTTGTTCTCCGTTATTACTATTCCTTTGTCTCACACCTCTGTTTACTGACTATATTATGCATTTTTGCTATATTCTCCTCTTGCTTTGTGTACTATATGGAGTGTGGCAACTTGAACTGCTGCACATCGGTGTAAAGTTCTATGTCGAAAACCGACCGACCGACCGATGAATAGTAATATTTTTACAAACACTGATATTAACCGCTTCTTAGTGTATACCTTAAATTATGTTTAGCGTATAGCTAAAGCCTTAAAGGAAAGCCTCATTGAATCAGCCCTTAGGAAAGGCATCACTAATACACAAACTAAGAAAAGTAGAAATACAGTTGGTTGAAAACAAAAAGTAACACTAAAAATAATAGGTTACGTACTTCTTTGAAAGCACGAAACAAGGAATTTGGAACAGAATGTCGAAAGGACAGTAGAATACAGACATGCAGGAGTAATTGGAAACAGTATTCCCCATTAGGAAGCTTAGAGCACTTAACTGTAACAGCTACATAACCCATTAGTTGTGGGAGGTAAGGTAACTTAATCACTTAAAAAGAACGACTAAATATTATGAAATTTTGAAATATGATATCTCTAAGGTGTTGTAACAGTTTCATCACACATCAGTAAAAGTCCTGTAATTGTATGGCTTGATTATTGAATAAAGTATGTATTACAAGTGGTGATACTGATTCTGTGAATACATTTCTAGGTACAAGAAAAGAATATCCAAAGAAATCTAAACCGACATTCTTAATGAAAACAAAATAAAAGACGGCATCAAAAACACAACTAATTTTAGCAACGGAGGCTTCTCTTTCATGTTTTTGTCTATGAATCTTGATGGATACCTGTCCTCTAGTGGGGTTTCACGTAATAAATTCAATTCTTTCTCTATCGTGTCTTCGGAACAGATTTTTCTAATCCTTGGACTTAATGTACGTACCAGGTTTCGCTTTCGGTTCAGTCGGACGAAGCTATGGAAGTTGATAAACTGTCCCGTCTATGTTGGCTTGCGATACATCGACCTTTGGATAGTACGGTCTTGTCTTTTGGTAAGTAGTACATCGAGAAATAGAAATGCCATGTTCGATTCACGTTCTAAGGTGAATTTTATTGATGGATGTGCTGCGTTGAGGGTTTTGAGTTCCGAAATTTTGCCATGTATCAAGTAAAATCAACGAATTACAAACCAAAGTGAAGTTCGAGAATTTAATGTCACAGACATTCGATTTGTTACCCTACTTCTGAAAAAGATCTTGATCAATTCAAAGATTCAATTCTCGACAGCTGATACAAATGCATTCGTACATGACCGAGCCACCGTTATCTACTGACCAAGGAACGCAAAGGACAACTTAAACAACTTCAAGAAAATAAAGACATAATCCTTGTCCGTCCTCATAAGGGCAATGGGATTGTGGCAATGAATAGATCCGACTATAATGAGAAATTGGCAAACATACTATCAGACAACACCAAATAATTCAAACCATCCAACCAGAGAGATACAACAGAAAAAAGAACAGAAAACCTCCTTACAAAATTGCTGAAGAGAATGTAAGAAGATTCAATCATAACATAGGAGGTATTTGGGCAAATAAAACCATGCAGTTTAACTAATTCAAGACTGTATGGACTGTCTGAAGTGCATAAGGAGAATGTTCCACTTCGACCTATCGCAGACATGGTTAACTCACCATATCTTCAGATCGCGAAGTGGCTAACTGATATCCTTGAACCAGTAAGAAGACATATGACAAAATATAGCCTTAGTGATACATTTGATTTCATCGACTCAATGAAAGATATCAACGTGTTTGAAAGACAAATGATCTCACTAGATGTCGTCTCTCTATTCACAAGCATCCTGCTGACCAAAACAATATGCTTCATTTGTGACTACATCAAAACAAAAAACCCAGAAGTTCCTCTTCTCATAAACTACTTCTCAGATGTAAGTTTAATATCCAGTTCAAATTCAATGAACAGTTCTGTGTACAGAAAGATGGTGTAGCTATGGGGTCTCCTCTCGGTCCACTCCTAACTGACTGCTTCATGGTGAGTCTCGAAAACAACATCCACGATCCTTTGATAAGTCAACTGCACTTATACAGGGGATACGTAGATGATACGTTCATAATTTGTGATGAAAAATTTGATTTAGAGTATCTCCTCAAAACCTTCAACGCAGCACACCCATCAATAAAATTCACCTTAGAACGTGAATCGAACATGGCATTTCTATTTCTCGATGTACTACTTACCAAAAGACAAGACTGTACTATCCAAAGATCGATATATCGCAAGCCAACATAGACGGGACAGTTTATCAACTTCCATAGCTTCGTCCGACTGAACCGAAAGCGAAACCTGGTACGTACATAAAGTTCAAGGATTAGAAAGAATTAAATTTATAACTAACTTGACTTTAAGCCTTGGAAAGACTTTAGAAAAAGTTTCAATTCAATTTAATAACTTGCTGAAGACAACAGATGGTAAGTGTGGACGTATGGAACAAAAAGTATTCAACTAGTTGGGAAACATTTTAGATCTTTTTGAAAATACACAAGAGTAAATTACGCCCCAGAATTCCGTTTAAAAAATAAAACAATATTTAAAGTATAGAAATATACGATAAAGCAAAGTTCGACTGACAACTATTAGTTTTGGAAATATTGATAAGCCATAAAGATTTTACACTCTAAAAAGTATGTGAACATTTGTTAACACAACGTGTTTTAGGCTTGAAAGTTCTACACATTTAAAGCTGCATAAGAAGTCATGAAGAAAAAATGGGAAACCCCTGAATGATAGATTGACTAGATGAATTCATCTAAATAACTAGTGTAGAAACAGTTTTTAAACAAGGGACATTTTATTTTCAAGTGAGCATAAACTAATAAATAAGCATATATTTCTACATTTATTCAGACTATAGGATATTCAATGTCAGGTGATAACAGTACACCACGTAACTACACACAGTCATGTTTGGAATCTTTTCCAAAGACAAATAACAACAAAACATTAAAAATTGGATTACGATTTCACAACCAACGTCCAAGTACTACAAACGAAATTCAATTAACATGTGACTTGTAAATAAGTTCATTTTCTGTTCTATCACGAAAACAACCACCAAAAATGCTTACACCTCATAATTCTTTCCGAAAATCAAACGATTATAATTCAGCCAAGTGACATTTTGCACGCTGTCATTCACAGTTTTGGTTAGTTCATGATACAACATAATTTATATTTCTGTATCGTGAGTAGTAACTGGTCCATTATTCCCAAACCTGATATCACCAATATTTGCATTTAAGAGATTGTGTGCAGGTGAATACACTAAGATATTTTTCACACCAATTAAGGAGACTTTTATTGTGGGCTGTAACAATCCCCTTGTCAGGAGTGAGGCTAGCAACCCCACCCTGTAAACAAGTTGCTACAGAAACTTCAGCTCGATGAATCTCCTTGCGCCAAAAGAAAAAGTCTGTGTGGGGACACGGAATGTCCGCACCATGTACGAGATTGGCAAAGCTGCCCAGATCGCAAACGAAATGAAAAGATACGAAATTCAAGTACTGGGAATATGTGAAAGCAGATGGAACGGGAATGGACTCACCAAATTGTCAACGGGTGAGTCTGTGATCTACTCCGGTCACCCAGAAGATAACCACATACACACCAGGGGCGTGGCTATCATGATGTCACCAACGGCAACCAAGGCTCTGATACAATCGGAGGCGATCTCACCCAGGATAATGACCGCCAGATTCAACTCCGAAGGAAGAAAAGTGTCAATTATACAGTGCTATGCACCCACAAACAACGAAGACCTCGAAAAGAAAGAAGAATTCTACAGACAACTACAGGCAGCAATACACAATACTCCAGTTGGTGACATTAAAATACTAATGGGAGACATGAATGCCAAACTGGGATCAGACAACACAGGAAGGGAACTCATCATGGGCAAAGAAGCTCTCGCAGAAATGAATGAAAATGGAGAACTCTTCGCCGACCTCTGCGCCTTCAATGAACTAGTGATCGGTGGCAGCGTATACAAACACAAAAATATCCACAAGGCTACATGGCTGTCACCAGACGGGCGAACCAAAAACCAAATCGACTTCATCTCAATCTCAAGGAAGTGGAGGCGCAGCCTACTGGACACAAAAGTAAGAAGAGGAGCAGACGTCGGCTCAAACCGCTACCTCGTACAAGGGGCATTCCAAATCAAACTAAAAGCTTTCAGAGAAGCAGGAGCTGCGGATAGACCAAAAGCAGAGTTCAACACTCAAAAACTGAAGGACTAGGATACAAAGGACATCTTCACTGCAAGCATTAAGGACAAATCAACACTAGTGAAGAGGTCAGCACTGGGACAACCTGAAAGCGGTGTGGAGTCAAACCTGCATGGAAGTTCTAGACAGAAAGAAGAGATGGGACAAACAGTGGCTCACTGTGGACACTTGGAGACTAATAGAAGAGACAAGGATGGGGAAACAGATTATACAGTGCATTGACGAGCAACAAAAGCAGGATTTGAATGCAAGCTACAATACACTGAACAAAAGAGTAGAGAAAAGTGCCAGGGAAGACAAGAGAAAGTATTATGAAGCCATGGCAAGTGAAGCAGAACAAGCTGCAGGCAAAGGAGACCTCGCCATACTCTACCAAACAACTAGGTACCTATCGGGCAAAAGTTCGACACAAATCAAGCCGGTGAAGGATGACAATGGAAAGTCACTCACCAAAGAAGTGGAGCAAAGGAAACACTGGGCTGAACACTTCAAAAGACTTCTAAATCGACCACCACCTACAACGCGCCCAACAATACCAACAACGGAGACAGAGCTACCAGTGAACACCAACCCCCCGACGAAATCAGAAGTCCTGAAGGCAATCAGGATGCTAAAAGCTGGAACAGCAGGACCAGATGGAATCACAGCAGAAGCATTGAAAATGGACCCAGAGACAACAGCGGACTTGATGACGCCACTACTGGAGGAGGTGTGGAAAGAAGGCAAAGTACCCGAGGATTGGAAGAAAGGATGCTTTTTCAAACTATCAAAGAAAGGAGACTTAAGTCAATGCAAGAACTGGTGAGGAATTATGCTCCTGTCCATCCCAAGCAAAATACTAAGCCGCATCATCCTGGATAGAATCAAACATGCCCTGGATAAAAAACTTCGACCGTAACAGGAGAAACAAGTCATGCATTGATCAGATTGCCACATTACGGATCATCATTGAACAAAGCTTGGAATGGCAGTCACCTCTCTATCTCAACTTCATCGACTTTGAAAAGGTATTCCACAGCGTCGATCGAGAGGTGCTTTGGCAACTACTTCGCTACTACGGTGTACCACCGACAATTATACATCTCATCCAACAGCTGTACGACAATGCTGCATGCCACAACGGGAAACTTACGGAATCCTTCGAAGTGAGGACAGGAGTAAGACAAGGCTGCCTACTACCACCAATGATTTTCCTGATTGCAGTAGATTGGATAATGCGACAAACAGCCGGCAATGAGGAAACAGGCATAAAATGGACTCACACGAAAAACTTGGAGGATCTGAACTTCGCCGATGACATATGTCTGATTTCCCACAAACTGGAAGATATGCAAGTGAAAAGTAACAAGTTGGCAGAAGAAGCATCAAAGATAGGACTCCAGGTGAACATAGAGAAAACAGGTGATGAAGATTCCCGGGCAACACGAACAGACAATAATTAGCATAAATGGAAGGAAACTGAAAAAAACCACCTCCTTTACCTACCTGGGAAGCATCGTTTCAACTACAGGCGGAACTGACGAGGATATCAAAGCAAGGATCGGGAAAGCAAGGCAAGCTTTCATTACTCTCACAAGTCTGTGTGGAGGTCAACAGCACTCAGCATCAAAAATAAGATCCGGATTTTCAACTCTAATGTGAAGTCAGTGCTACTATATGGATCAGAGACTTAGCGTGTCATAAATAGCATCTCAAACAAACTACAGACCTTCATTAACAGATGTCTTCGCTCAATACTCAAGATCAGATGGCCAGAAAAGATCAGCAACAGAGATCTCTGGCAATGAGCGAACCAACACAGCAGGAACCGATTGTGAAACAAATAGGCAGGAAGAAATGGAGATGGATTGGCCATACTCTGAGGAAAACATCAAGTGACATCACTAGACAAGCCCTCGAGTGGAACCCGAAAGGGAAGCGGTGAATTGGTCGTCCAAGGGTGACTTGGAGGAGGTCATGTGAAGAAGAATTGAAAGCGTGTGGGCAGACTTGGAGCCACGTGAAAACTCTAGCAGAGAACCGAACGCAATGGAGACGCACGGCTGAAGCCCTATGTTCCTCTAGGAACTAAAGGAAATAATAATAATATAGAAAATATCCAGTAGTTTACAACGTATTTTCGCGACTGCAATTGACTTGCAACGAATAAATAAGCTGGACTGTAGAGAAAAGCACTTACCATTTCAATACACCAACCAATGAAGTAAGCGAAAGATAACATTTCCTTTGCATAATCGTTTTCTTTACTGAAGACGATGTAGGATAATGCAACTAGTATGCCTCGAATTCGTTTTCCACTACTTAAGTTATACGATGTTATCTATGAAATAAAAAATGTAGAAATGAGAATGAAATAAATATTTTGAGAAAAGATGTGCAATCAGATTTGCAATATCATGAAGAAGTGGCAAATATGTAAATTAGGGTTCCGCAACATGGAAAAAGATATCCCGAAGTACTCGTAATGCATTTAGCTTTACAAATATTCGTCAAGTGATAAATACAGTTTGACTAGTTGGAAATCGTTTCCCTGTACTTTTACATCGTCATTTCAATACATTTACTGCCTTCTGTAGTAATTTGATATTCAACTCGCCGTCAAGGCTTCACTGAATTGTGCAGACATGTGCTGTCTTACTTTGTGGACGCAAAACATGACAATCAAAAGAGACCTGAACAGACTCATAACTGTCTTCATAGTAATATGTAAACACTCACATTTTTATTTATTAATTCATTCAGTTGAACAATTCCAAAATCATCAATTATTTATTGACGTGATCCATTATAAAATCACAACTTATCTTTATTTTACGCATTTCGAAAAGTGTAAAAATATCATTGGTTATTCTACGGAACATCCAATCGAAAATTCATAGTGTGAATGATGTGTAATTCCATGATTAGAAGAAAAACATCAATTTGATGAAATATGCAGGTAAGTTACTGTTGCTCTAATGGTAAATGAATCACAACATAGGTATAACAATCGAACATTTGTTTTTTTTTGGATAGCTACAATACTTTCACAATTCAGAGCAATCCAGTTAATCGGTACAGATATTTTATACACTAGGCTGACCTACACTTATAATATCACATTTCTTAAACTGAATTAGATGAAAAGGGATTGGAACAAGGAACGCATTGGTTGTAAGTCAATACTAAAATTAATGAACTGTAATGCCAATATCCCTTTCAAAAATAAGTGAAATGTTTGCAAATTGGATATATTTACCTAGAATACATTGTGATAAAAAGCATATGAACAATTAAAAATTGGTTAATATAGTGATTATTGTCAAGGAAACTCGTAGAGACGTTCAAGCTTTCAAGTAGTATACTTTGTATTATGGGATATACATATAAACACAAAGAGTCAAACTTCAAATCTGAAGTTGACTGACGCACAGTAGCTTGTTTAAACCGAAAATAGTGTTAATTAGCACTAGTATACAGAAACCGGGAACACCCCATAATCAATAACCAGTGAGTAAATAAAGCTTACACGTTTGCTGAAATTCTTAGTAACTCAATCTATGAGAAACTCAAGCGAAAAAAAATATACAAGTGTAGCAAAATCTACGTCAAACAACACCCATTACATTAATAACGCAAAATATGTTGAGTTAACACTTACATCTTGAACATGCTTTCTGACTAATCCAAGACTTTCCGGTTGGTTTTGATGCAATAGATTGATGAATGTGTCAAAGTAATTCTCAAAGTTATTTTTAACTTCCAGAAATGTAGTGTGCAGATTAATATTAGTTGTCATAGTACGACTCTACAGAAACCGGTATCTATAAGAGAATTTACAATAAAGTAGATTCAAACAGCAAAGCATTGTACAGTATATAAAGTGAAGGACTATATATATATATATATATATATATATATATACAACAAACTGGATTCCCCAGTTTTGGTTTCAATTCTCTAAATAGATTACATATCTCTACTTTTACTTTATTTAGAGTACTAGACATTTTGTACCAGTGCTTATGAACCTGACTCGATATGTTCTAAAGCTTTTTTGTCATTATCTTCTCTATTGAGAATTACGCTGACATTGCCTTTATCAGCTTTAGCTATGACAATAGTTTTGTCCGATCTTAAAGTTTGTAGTGCATGACGTTTCTCCTTCGACAAATTTGTAGCTGCCTGCTTTTGATTTGACAGGACACATCCAATTTCTTTTTACTTTCTTCTCTGGCTTTGTGTGCTGAGTGAAGTGTAGTGAATCGAACTGCTGCACACCGGTGCCAAGTTCTGTGTTCAAACCAGACAGACAGACACGTTTAACCTTAAGATGCAATTCATTAGCTTTAACATCAGGTAAAAGGGTTAGTGTAGGCTCAATGATGGAAGCTATTTCTAGTTATGTGAAAGTTTATTCCCTTTCAAGTAACGCCACTTCGTGTACACTGAGCTCAGGCTTTTTTGGGCACTTTACTAGATTTATTTTCGCGAGTTTAATAGTTGACTGAGTGCTAAGTTTTTTCTGTTGGTTGGCCACAATTATTGCTTATCAGTCTTAAAGGTTACAGATATGGTAGTACAAAAGTGCCTGTATGATATAAATAATGGAGTTTAGCTCACAGAAGTGCAACAACGCGGAAATGTAGCCAGTGACACAAGAATAGTGGCACGACAGAGGATAGCGGCTTAAGGAGAGGCTGTGCGCTTGAAGGTCACTTACGCACACTGTGATTGGTAGGTTTTCCTTTGCATAAAGGTTGCGGCTAATACATATTGTACGCTACTGAGGCGGGCTTTGAAATAATAGTATTAAAAGCGGATAGACCTTGAGCAACCGATTGGGTGACTCTGGTTTTTCCAGAGGCAATTATGGCAACTCTAAACAATAGGAGGCAACTCTAAACAATAGGAACCCAAAACGAAACGACCTACGAACGCACAAATGACCTTAAGCAACTAGTCAGGTGACTGTTTTTTCCAGTAATAGGTTTGGGGATATATGACACCAGCCTCCAGAAAGGACATATTGAGGCGACCCTTAAGGACATGTGTATTATTGCCTATTATCTAGCGCTTAGTGCTGTCTGGGACAACTATTGTCGTTATTTGTGGCCTTCTAATTGGTCCCTGACGAGGTCAATTGTACGTTTGTAGGTCGTTTCGTTTTGGGTTCCTATTGGGTGACTCTAAACTTTAGGAACCCAAACGAACGAACGGACAAATGACCTTGATGAATGATCTTGAACAGGCAATCATCTGACTCGCAATGGATGCTGTACATCGTTTGCGATGCAAATTCGCTCCAGAGTTTGTTTTCGATTACTGTCTAGAGAACGGGCTGATATAATAGAGGGAGAATGGCTTCAAATCAACAATGGGTGTTGGGCATTTAATGACACCACCCTACACAAGGGATATATAGAAGCGATTCCTGATCGCAGTGCGAATGTATTGTTGCCCATTATCCAACGTTTAGTGCTACCGGGAACAACAATACATACGGATGAGTGGAGTAGTTACAGCCAATTATCAAATCTCGGCTATATTCATGAGGTTGCCAACCATACAACCGGATTTATAAATCCTTTCAATGGAACTCATACTAATTCCATTGAAAGTTTCTGGAGTTACCTCAAGAAACGGATAAAATTGGTGAACGGATGAAGAAATCCAATGATTTACAGTTATCTTGACGAGTTTATGTATAGGACTTGGTTTAACATGACTTTAAAGACTCCTATGTCTAATTGGGACTTTTTTTGCAACATATACGAGAACGCTATCCTTTGTAACTATATTTTAACATTGCTTTACTTGTATATAAACGATTTATTAAAATTATGCGCCGTTCATTTTAAGCCTTCTGATTGGTTAAAATTGTCCTTGTCAAGGTCATTTATCCGTTCGTTCGTTTGGGTTCCTAAAGTTTAGAGTCACCCATATACAAAAACGTTATCCCTTGTAACTATTTTATAACATGGCCTTACTTTCAATATAAACGATTTTTTACAATTATGCGCCGTTTTTTTGAGCCTTCTGATTGGTCGAAGTTGTCCTTGACAATGTCATTTATGCGTTCGCTAGGTCGTTTGGGTTTGGGCTTCTATTCTTCAGAGTTTCCTTTTTTAGCTTAAGGGAGCAAATTAATGTGTATAAATTTCACAGATGTGCTAAGCATTGAATCTACTTACAAGAAGAGTATTACTGGGTAACTTAATAAAAGAAGTATAAAGTTTGAAGATTTGATCTCCTTCATGAAAGCACACGAATGAACTGTTTTGGTGATTTATAGGATGTTTTACTTCTGTGACATGTCAATGATTGTAAATTCGTTTGCCAACATTGTTAAATATATGTTCAGTAAAAACCAACTGCTTTTTGATATCGTGAGTCGTTGATTTACCGCTAGTTTGCTGTTTTTGGAGGCGACCTGTGTACATAATAGATTTGACGCTGCGTTAGTTGTCGACTGAGGGTTAAATGCAGAACCGTAGGCGCGTTGGTCCATGCTTTAGTCTGTAATAGTAAGTTTGGGCGCCCTGCAGACGTTTTGGGCAGACATGGGTTCAATTTCTCAAAATCTGCAATGCGCCTAAAGATTTTGCCCCAAAAATTCTGCAGTGCGCCCGAAAACTTGCTAGCTGGGAGGTATGATGAATTTACCTGATATGTTTCCATCCTCAGATTTTTCTCAATACGGCCGAAGGTATTCGAAAGAGTACAATCTCAATCTCTGCTTGAAAGGTTCACATCCACTTCCTCCAAACGGATCTAGTGGTGACGAAAACTGCAAAGACTGGTCCAACACCACTACCAACGGAGGCAAACTGATGCAGATAGAGTGTTTAGTGGACTTTATGATGACTGTGACGCAGCTATAAAAAACGCTTCAACTGTGATTTTTTCACTGGATTGTTACTAACTCTTTTCAGTGTAGATATGTACTCTTTCACTATTTACTTGATTGATTGTTGTTTCATTACAAGTATATGCATATATGTTGACCAACTTTGTCTCTTTTTCTTAACATTTTGAGGACATTGTAGAATTAACGAGGATGATAGGCAACCCATTAATACTTATTTGAAATGCGTCAGTCTTAAACTGTTATTATTTTCTCAATGCGTCATCAAGCCTTGCGTAAAGTGTTTTAGTTACGTTTGATTTGGTTGCATTTAATATTAGTATTCACGATTGTTAGGAAAATAGCCGTTGAACATATGTTTATACTTTAATAACGAAACATAACATAGCAAAAGTAGGTTCTATACGTACACGACTTGTATTGGTAGTCTAGGCACTTCATGTACACTATGCAACGTATATCCTATTTATCACAAGAAGTCTATTATTCTTATGTTGCGTTTAACACCACTGTCTCAAAGGAAATCACTAGGTATATAGTCTTTTCTTGTGCATATCTGTTTAAGGTTTACTAGCGGAAGGAATTACTCTAAAGCGATAAGAGCACCCCATCATGACCAAATTCAACCACGTGTTAATATGACATTTCACGAATATTGCATCTTCTACGGTGACATCACTTCACGACTCGACAAACAATAAGTATTATTAGCGTATGAACGGAGTGCAAAATTTAAAAACAAATAATATTTCAATAAATGCATTCATCATATCACAAATATATAATTATTCACACAAGTATTATCCTTTCTAATCCCATTAGAATGTCTAAATATAATGAGTGATTGTGAAGACCATAATCTGGAAATTAAAAATGACAAAAGTTCAGTCAGGAAATGATGAGTTAAATAAAAAATTCAAAAAACACAGTACCTACCGGTTGAATGAATGTCTCTTCACCGTTATCTGAGGAAATAACCAACTCAGTTTTCTTTCTTACTGTGAAATTTTGTAAAGATCATGAAATCATTATTACCTCAATATTCAACCTCCTCCTACTCATTTACGTAAAATAAATAACCTCAAAATTATGCAATTTTTCGTTGTTTTACACAATTTTATGCTTGTATTGCAGCTAAAAGTCTATGGAACAAGGCGTTTTCAGCATAAACAGCAAATGATGATGTCCTTATCCGGCAGTAATTTACGGCCAGTTTACAAACTGTTGAAATCCGTACTTTTCCGTTCAGAAAATGTCGAATTACTTGGAGACACATGTTATAACGACTTTTAGTCATGTTTTTTGTAGTTCAGGGGATTAGACATAGACATGATGAGGTAGGCTAGTTCGTTTCGCTAGTCATTTTCACTTTGTTGTGTACCTTAGGTGATGGTGTCAAAGGTCCTCCACGTGTACCTGTTAAAAGAAAATCTACAGAAATACTTGGGAATTATTTTCACATGTTATTTGCTTCTTATACTGCATAGATTCGGTTTTTACAAGCAGGTGCAATGTCCACTTCTTCTGCTTGAAAAATAATGAGTGACGTAAGTACATACAATTTAACGCATTATCTAGTATCTTCTATCACTTAAATTTTGTGTTTGTAATGGTAACAATGTTCACATCTTTTGATTGCTTAATTTCTTTTTCGGATGATAGCTACTTTCGGGGATTTCATGGAGTTTGGTGCTTAAGAAGATTTCCATAGTGTCATTGATTTTGTATTACATGTTAATTCATTAATAAATCTATTCCTCGTTATTCGTTTGTATATTCTACTTGGTAAGGCCGAATATTAGCCCTTGTGTAAGTTGCGAGGTACAGAGTATATGAGGCTATTTTTTGAAATACTAAGTAAGAGCTGATGTTCAGAGAAGCCTATTGGTTGAAAGATTATGTTGTAGTTAAGTAAAGTGAATATGCCCAAA